TTTCTGAAAAGAAACTAGGCTGAGGAGTAAAAAATTTACTCCTCTAACTCTAACACATTTAGAAGATCAGCCAGATGCCACGATATCGGCTAGAGATGCTTTTATGGACAGCCTCTTTTCATTCCCTTTCGTAGCTATCATAACCAAGACATCTCTTTGTGTAAAATCGGATAGAAAAAAGGCTTTTCATCCACGACCAGAAGGGTGAGTGATTCTTCATCCGTGAGAATTGATTTTTTGTTAACAAGGATATAGTTTTGACATTTTGTAAAAAAAAAGTATTTTAAAAAAACTAGGATTCACGGTCCTTTTATTTTGTTGCGCGGTTGTTACATCATGTGAGCAACTGTTCATCCCCATTTGCTGAGCAAATAAGTAAAAGCAAACAGTCTCCAGACATCTATAATACCTAAATAGTTTATCCCCATTATGTTATTTCTTTTGACATGCAGCCTATCCATCTCAGCAGGCCTGCCACGTCAACAACTTCAACTTAAATTTCGTCTGACATGCAACCCTCCATGTCATTTTTTCAGTTTTTGTTTATCCTTGACAGCAAACCTGCTAATCTTCTCTGACGATTCCGTTTTTTTTGCGGGGTCTCTGACGATTCCGTTGCTCTCCTCATCTTTTATTTCTTTCCCATGCCCCTCTCCCCGGCCATCCCTTCACCTCTCCGCTATCCCGGCAGCGCTGGATCCAACCTCACCAACTCTTGCCACCGCCGAATTCGATGATGACGAGCTGCGATGACCTGTGCCACTCTACCATTCGATATGGTCTGCGACCGAGCTCCGCCACCCACGCTACCTTTCCCGTCTTCAAATCCTCGAACACACATGTTCACCTCTCTGCTGCCCTTGGTAACGACGCATCATCTAACTTCTCTAACCCACACCAATGCCGGATTTGACGGGGAGGAGCTACCACGACCCACACATCGTCGGATTCGTTGGTGAGGAGTTGCGCCATACTTCTACGGAAATGTTAACGCCCACACGTGTGGGCGTTTGCATCTCGCCCACACGCGTGGATCCGCGTCCGTTCGTGAGCGCACGAATCTTGGCATATTTCTAGTGCCACGTAGGACTGGCCTGGTGTGTGGGCGTTCAGCCGGTCGCCCACACGGCCGTTTCACCATACAGGAGGGACTGGTGTGTGGGTGTTCAGCAGTTCGCCCACACGCCACTTTACACGCACACATAAGGGTCAGTGTGTGGGCATTTGGCATCTTGCCCACACGCCCTTCTCCTCTCCCACACCTAAGCTGCTAGTTGTCATGTGTTTTTGCACTGCACATGGCCCCTAGTGTGCTTTTATAAGCAGGTGGCAACTCTCTTTTTTTACCCGAGTTTGCCATGTGTTTTGCAGGGTACACGGCAACTGTCTAATGTGCATGTAAGCAAATGGCAACTCTTTTTTACCGAGTTGCCATATGTTTTTGCATGGTACATGGCAAGTGCCCTAACGTGCATGTACATGGCAACTGCCCTAACATGCACGTAAGCGGATGGCAACTCTTTCTTTTTACATGGCAACTGCCCTAGCATGCTTGTGAGCACATGGCAACTCTCTCAACTGCCTAGTGTTAGTATGTGGCAACTCCTAAAGTTATGAAATCATGGCAACTACATTAGATCAGACCATACATGGCAACTGCAGTTGAGCAACCATGGAAACTGCAGTTGTCCGACATGGCAACCGTAGTTCAGCGACATGGCAACTGCAATTAAACGAACATGGACGAGGGTCTGGACCATGGCAATTGCAGGCGCGCGGTGACCGTCACGCGTGGCGTGCGGGACCAGGAGGTACGAGACCTGACATACGGGCGTGTGGGCGTTATCAACTTCGCCCACACGCACGCGTGTGAGAGGGATCGGGAGGGAAAAAAAGAGGCGTGTGGGCGCTAATTATTTTGCCCACACGTAGGTGTGTGGGCTGTTCCTCTTATACACCACACAAAATGTGTGGGCGGACTTCGTAACGCCCACACGTGTGGCACTTCTCGGCGTCCTACTTCTATAACCGAGGTCAGCCCATATAAAAGGTTAGAAAATAGATGAGATTTTGTTTTATCACTTTTTCTTCTGCGTCACAACAAGATCTGATCCAAAATTTGTGGAGTGTTGTAGAATCATCAGGATATGCACTTATAAGCTGAGAGATCATGGTTTTGTTCTCTGAATAGGTCGGGTTCTAGGATTTTGCGATTAGATCTTAAAAAGAGAGAGATTAGTACAGTTAGAAACAAGTAATTGTGCTGGCCGAATTCATTGTTTATTACAGTGATGGCCTGCTCAACTGGTAGTTTGATTCACATAGTTCTCTTCTGACGTGTTATCCCTTCATTGTTATTTCAGAGGATGCAGATGAGGAAAGTACAGCGATGACAAAATATATCTCGGATTAATATCTGAAGGACAAAGAATCCAGTACAGTACCCTGTTAATGGTGTATACCTGATATTGTTATGACAAAAAATCATGACTAATTCATTCATTCACACATTAGACATCATAGTTTTATTGCTTGATATTGTTATGGCAAAAACACCATGACTAATTAATCTGTTTACACATCAGGCCGCCGTTCTTTGATTCAGTATGATTTGCGCGCTTACATTTCACTAAGATGTAAACTTATTTACTTTATTTAATGCATATAGCTATTTTACAGGAGGCCTTTGATCAACAAGCATCCATGTTGTGGGTACCCTTAAATTTTACTTACAGGTTTTACGGGATAATTGCAGTGCACAGACAACATCCTTCATTTATACAATATCTTATATCCTCGTATTTCTTTTCAGTTTCCCTTTGCCCATTAGGCAAAATTAGTACATGCACGTGTATGGACTTGACTTACCATCCTTTTCTGCATCTTTTGACATATCCATGATAGGCGATTCAAGCCACATATCCTCTGTGCCTAACGTGCGCAAAAGATGCAGAGATGTCCTGATTGTTATGGTGTTGCAACTACGAGGTTATTAAATGGTTTATTACTATGCTACTGCCATGGCTCATACAAATTTTTATGGTGATGTAATTATTCTTTTTTGGAGAATTAAAGTTGTGTTTTCAGTGCCGTGTGTCGCATTTTGATGTGCTAAAATGTGATGAAGCTACTAAATTGATCGTTTAACATCCAAGAAAACTTATGCATGTATGTCTTGGGTTGTCAGGAAACAAGCTATCCCCTGTGATTTTTACCTTCGATGTGCCCTCACCTTCTGTAAGCAGCCTCTCTATCCCTCTCAAATTATTTTTCTTAAAGATCTTTATGTATACACAAGGCACAATAAATTATCTTGCTTCTTTCCTGAAAAGTGTACTGAAGTCACTTTCCTCTTTCCTGCTTCTGGTGGACAGATTATTAACATTGCATGCAGGTTGGTAAACAAAATAGCTCAAGCAATTTCGAAGTGATGTGTTACTTGGTGCAGTCTAACTCTGAACTTTATTCTTATTTTCCTTTGGTACTGAAGATTATTTCCCAAACACACACGCAACTGAAGGTTTATACAGTGACGTATATACATGTTTGACTGCTAATCATGATGCCTTGCTTCCTTTCTTTGCTGAAATTTTACAACAATGCCTCTACTAACCTCATTTCAACTGATGTGTACAAACCTTCTATTTGTTTTTGTGTGTATTACATAGCATAGGAATTTCCTCCACTGGAGATTTTCAGATAACTGAATCTGACACTCCAAATCAGAAGACACCAATCATTCAATCAACTTTACTAAGGGAACTTCAGAAATATTTTCCTGTCCCTGGTAGAAACAAAAATGAAGATTACACCCTTCAGTATGTACATCTATGAAGGCCAAGCGAGGCGTTAGAGTTGAGGATTTGACACAATTTGGATCGAAGTACTGCTATCTATCCAACCAATCTTTCTCTCCTTGGGATTTCCGTAGTTTGTTCCTGTGATTGGTTTTCTTTCTATGCCTAAGAAAGTGGAATGGAGGGAGTAATGCCTTGAGGTCATATTTATTATAATTATAGTCAATTTAGTTCGATTTTCAAGTTGCGGAGATGATATTCATTGTGTGACCTTTGCCCTGTAGGGAATGTCAACGGGCTTTATCTATGGAACACTTAGTTTATTCTTAGTACTTTCTCAGCAATCATTTTTGTTAAAAGGATCTGTACGCCTGCCATAGTCACAGTGCATATGGGTTTAGTATTGTTATGAGTGAGAGTTCATTCTCTTAACACGACACTCTTGCATTGCAATGGACTTGGCCTCGAATCAGATAGTATTCAATAATAATGCATATTTTATTGTGAGCATCCCACGATCCATTAAGTTATTTAGAAACTATCACTTACACTATGGTCATTCAGCCCTATCTTTGCAAACAAACATTTCCATATTTAATGAAATGTTTTTCAAGCATACATTCCCGTAGCAACGCGCAGGGTATCATCTAGTTTTTCCAATAAAAACACTCGCCTTCATAATCCCACAAGGTCATAGATGCTTGCAGACCAACTATAGATTTTGGGGCATGATCAGATGGCTTGGCCCAAGTGTCTAATCGCTAGCGCTAGGAAAAAGTCAAGGATCCGCCGCATCTCGCACGCATCCAATCATCGCAAGGATGTGATTTGAACCTACGACCTCCTCCTTCAAAGTATGCCGCAATAGCCCACTGTTGATAAAGGTCCCGATTTCAATGGAGTTGTAATGTAAAGTTGAGTCATTTATTTCATGGTGGAGAGTTTGTATCGGCTGCACATTTCGAACAAGTATTGCCTTATTACAGAAGCGCCAACTTGAATTGTTACTTTTGAGATACGATGATAAAAGCTATAAATTTCTGTAGCAACGCGTGGGGTATCATCTAGTTTTTCACAAAAGCTGAGATCTCAAACCTCGTCATCTCATCACAGAAAGTTATATCCTCCTCCTAGATTTCATCAACAATGCTGGGCAGCGCTCGTGTCGTGCCGGCCGGTCGCCGTCCAGTCAAAACACAATAGTCAAAAGTACCAGCCACGGCCAGTTGCAGCATCCACCTCCGCCCTCGCTTGGGCGGCGTACCTCCTCCCGGGCGGCAGTGGCAACGACGAGGCCGATGAGATCGACGCCGACCGCCGCATCCCCAGCCCTCCGCCGTCCGACCTGAAGCTGCCTCCAGACGAGCTGGAGCTGGAGCTGAAGCTGGACGCGGACCCGAGGCCGGCGCCTTTCTTGCTGCCTTTCCTCCGGAGCATAGGCAGAGCGAAGCACCCAAACGCCGCCGTATCTGGCTCAGGCGCGGCGCTGCCGTACTCCTTCGCCGCTGGCCGAGGCGCGGCGCTGCCGTACTCCTTCGCCGCTGGCCGAGGCGCGGCGTCGATGAAGGCGGTGGGCGGCGCTCGGCGGTGACCGCCGGCATACGCGTAGGGCCGGCGCCGGGAAGGTGACACCGACGCCGAGCGCGCGGAGGTGACGCGAGGCGACGAAGCCGACGAGTGGTGGTAATACGGCGACGGCGACGACGCCATGGAGGGAGGCGGCGTCAGCGTCAGCTTGGGCGCCACCTTGGCGGGCGATGCCGCCGCCGCGGCGCTCGCGCTCCTCGTGTGCTTCGGCGTCCCAGGGCAGACCTCCCACTTGAACGGTATCGAGCCCGCCCTCCTGCACGAGTCATCTTCCATTGCTGCCATCTTTTCGTTTTGAAATGAAATCCTCTCTCTCCAGACCTTCTCTCGCCCTATCTCCCTCTTCCTCGTCACGCTCCTGAATTTATAGAGGTCGTGGGTGGCGATGATTCAGGAGTGATTCGAGGGGGAGATGGACTGGTTCGAGATAGTGGGAAGCTATCTCTACTTTTTTAGTGTGCATGCGTTGAGTTTCTTCGGCGGTTTGGCACTAAGTGGTAGGCTAACCAAAGAATCGCATTGGGCCACCATGTTACCTCTGACTTCTCGCCTCAGCACGAGACAAGTTCAGCTGACGACCGGCGCATTGATCAGTTAGGGGAATGTCGTTTTCAGGTTTGACGGCCGGTGCAGAGGCCAGACGATGCGCGCACGTCGATCGGAGCTAACTCTGCCCGCCGATTGGGTTGGCGGCTTCATCGTGGTTTGTGTGCGGCCGGCGGCGTGACTGGAATGGAGAAAGATAAGTGTATGATTTCTGATGTTGATGGCACAATTGAACTGGCATTTGAAGTTATGAGCTCTGAGAGGACGTGTGCGGAAGAGAAGACTGCTGTTTTTTGAAGAAAAAAATGCAGATCTATTATATATAGGTTCAACCAAAGTATAAAGCACATCAAATCAAACATAATAAAAATTACATGGAGGTCCCCGGACCACCGAACCACCGCTGAGAACGAGCCGCCGATATGTCGCTGTCATCACTCCCCTATCGGAGCCGGTTTGACCTTGTCGATGATAGTTAGGATAACTTTGTACACGTGCCCTTAAGAACCAGCGTCCTGGAGTTGTAGCCGTCGCCGTTAAACCCTTAAATATATCAAAATTAACTCGCACCAAATGTCACCGTCACACACCCGCGACGAGAAACCCAAACCTAAGGAGACGGCAGGAATCTACGCGGGAGCTCTATTTTTGTGAGGACACACGAATTCTTAAATTTCGAGAAAGCCTTCACAACGAGAATCCACGCATTTGTATGTATGAACGTATGCACATTCGTGTACGACATTTTTTGGGTACTTGGGTTGACATACGATATTTTTGTGAGGACACGCCGTTTCTCTGGCATACACGAACGGAATGTGGATGTAGAGAATTCAAAATGGCCCAGGCTCATCTCCTCTCTGCGAACAGTAAATTCAAAAAAATAGTAAATAATTTTTTTTAAAACTCTGAAAGCTTTACACACAAAAGTTGAGAGAATATTCTAGGTACGAGGCGTTGAGACATTTGAGGAGCTCGTGTAAAAAAACAATCTATACAGTACACTTTTTGAAATTAGCAAGCCAAATTTGTTATTTGTGGTCACGAGCTACTCAAATATCGCCAGTTCTGTGGATGTTGCTTTCTCTGAAGAACCCCACTGATGCGCCAGTGGGGACAAGCGTGGCCAATTGCGATTTGCGACTCTCGTTTTTTTTAAACCAAGTGTGATTCTCGTTGTGAAGGCTTTCTCGAAAGCAACTAATCAAAGAGCGCTAGTTCGGGAGCCTTCTGAGGGTCACTTGAAGTGGGTTGAGAGCGCGCCATTGCCACCACATGTTGCGCTCTGGAGGCTCTCTCTAATTTTTATTTTTTTCGCATGCGTTTTTGGCATTTTACATGTTTTTTTGTATTTTTTGACTTTTCAGTTTTTCACCTGTCTTACTTAGTTTTTGGATAAAAACAAATTTACATGAAAAAACGCGCTTTTTCTTTTTCTTCCGTGAGAGGCACGGCCGTGCCTCTTGAAAAAAAGTGTTTTTTCTTCCGCGAGAGACACGGGTTTGCTTCTGCAAGAGACGCGGCAAAATGAAAAAAAAACCGTCTCTTTTCCCTTCCGCAAGAGGCACGAATTTGATTTCATGAGAGGCACGGCCGTGCTTTTCGGAAACGAAAAAAAAGTGTGTTTTGTCTTTTTTTCACGAGAGGTATGGATTTGCTTATACAAAAGGCACGGGTTTGCTTTCTCGAGAGGCACGGCCGTGTCTCTCGAAAACAGAAAAAGAACATGTTTTCTTTTTTTTTCTTCCGCAAGAGCCACGGGTTTGCTTCCGCAAAGGCATGGTCACTCCTATTTTGGAAAAGGAATAAAAAATGTGTCCTCTCGGTGTGGTTTTTTCTTCCGGTTTCTTGGTCTGATTTCTTTATGAAAAAAATCGTCAAAACCTGTCAACATGGGATCTAATTTTGAAGATCTCGATGTAAGGAATCAAATGATGAAATTGATTCGAGATTTACACGCACGCTTTAAGAGATAAAACGTTTGGATATGCGGCCATCTCATTCCGTCTGTTTTGATGGGTAAGCGCACCACTTCTCTTCATCTCTATCTCTGACGAAATGGCCGCATATTTTTGTCTCTCCTATCCATGCATTGAATCTCATCTGACCATGCAGAGCGCTCCGTACTACAGTTCTTGCAACTGAGCACCTGTTTCGAAAAGGTATACCGCAACAAATGGGGTGATGCGGAGACCACGGGCTGCTCTCTCCGTTGCAGCCGTCGGCGGTCTTGCAAGTTTTCGCAACAACAGTTTTGTTGCAGGAATACATAGAAGAAGTTAGAGATGTTCGGTCTATTGTAATGAAAGTTTTACAACAAGAGTCTTGTTACAAAAAAATAGAGAAGTTTTGCATCAAGGGTCTTGTTGCAGAAAAATAGAGAAGAAAAAGTTTTGCAATAGGGGTCTTGTTGCAGTAAATTAAATAAGAGAATATTTTGCAACAGAGGTCTTGTTGTAAAAAATTAAAGAAGAAGAGATTTTTGTAACATGACTCTTGTTACAGAAAGTTAGAGAAGAAGAGGTTTCGCAACAAGAGTATTGTTGCATGAAATTACACAACAATTGCATGAAATTACACAACAAAAACAAACGGCTCGCCTCGTACAATCGGACGGCTCGCGAGGCGGTGGATCTTTCTAAAAGATCCGTCGGCCGATGCATAGCACGGCCTTTAATTTAATGTTATTTGAGATTTTTATCATTTATGCCATCGGTTGTGTTCCACTACTCAATTTTGGCATTAGAAATTTCAACTGCTCAAAAATGCCATCGCTTCATTAGACACATGCTCAAAATGCCACTCGACATCATTATTGTGATCTCAAATCTCTTTTGCCATGTTATAATAACATAAATACCTATGAATCAACATGCATGCGAGCTCGGAAAGTGCTATTCTGAGCTCGAGCTCAGATGCACTGCATATCTCAGTCGTTCACTTGCACCAAGATTCACAACGTCTCCTGTATAGTCATATGTATTCTGAATAGTATATCCCACCTATTCCCTGGCAAGGACCCACCTATCTACCACACATAATGCCACCATCACCATCCCACCCTGACGGGCTCAGACGGGGGTGCAAGTTATGGGCCACGGCTCAGCCTGTACACCTATTTTAATACCCCTCCAGTGACACAGTGATCTCGGTGGTTGGATGGGCTGCTGATGTGACTAGACATGGAGCGAATAAAAAAATTTAGCTGGTGCAGATAAAGTAGATTAACAGGAATTGTAGTATGAGAGGGACAAGGTGGAAAGTTGGAAAACAAAAAACACATGTGAAGTGATTTGAAGGGCCTACTGGTACAAGGGTGCTAATTAATTGTGAAGGCACAGTGATGATGATAGGGAGCGGTCGTATTTTATTAGTAGAACCCATGATTACAGCAGTGCACAGACACAAAAATACGATAATGGCTGATGACCAAAGGAATAGCGAGTACTTTCAGAATTTGGGACAACACTGACACCTGAATCAAACTAAGCATTACTTCATGGCTGAACCAAAAGTAGACAATGATATGTACTGAAAGGAATAACTGAAGAAAGACTGAACCATAACACAGAAGAGAACATGTCGAAAAGACAGTTTAAGCATCATCTCAAGCTGTAATACAAGTTCTGAAATAAAAATGCTATTATCACTGAACATTTCTAAAAAAAAGAGGATCAATGAAATTGAGAAACATTCCTTGTCCGTGTAAAACTAGATAGAAGAACACTGATTGTCTATCTAGGATAAATATATATCACAACCATTTGAACTGCATTTTAAGAGCTGAGAAAGCTAAGAGCTAAGAAGCACAACCATGTAAGCTGCAGTTTGAGAGCTGAAGAAAAAAATGTGGTTGTACTGAAGAAAAATAAAAAGTGCTCAGCTACAACACTGATTGTTGTATTATGTGAGCTACAGATTTCAAATCTAAGAACAAAAGTCTGAAGGAGTGATCCGACTACTCACCACAGAAACCTCATATAAGAACATCGATCCAAAAATTCCCTCACCAAATTATACTTAAAATCAGGGGGGCATCCATCCAAATATATTATTCAAATTGCATATGTAATCAGGGTAGTAGTTCTAATACAATTCTCAGGAGGGAACTTAAATGTATATGCTATCTGTAGTAAACCAAGCATTGCAATGCAGAGAATCAAACCAAGCATTACTTCAAGGCTATAAGGAGAATCAAATCAACAACCACCATCATGGCTGAGAACCACCAATGTATGCCCGTCCTGCAAAGCAAAGTTGTTTCTTAGTAAATATTCAAACTGCATTCCAAAAAAGACATTTTAGAAGTTGTGTTTAAATGTATGAACTTTTTTCAGTGCGTCTAACCTTCGATGTTTGCCTGCCAGCGACGGCAATTCTCATTCGCACTTTTATCAACCTGAACATCTGCATGTACAATTGACAGATCAAGTAAATCAGTGACAACATATTTCACATTTGTGGTAGTATACTTTGTTTACTATCATACCTCTATGGCCACCCTCCACGGGGCTTGTTTCTCGACCTGCCGGTTCGACCTCCTGAGCAAGGTTTTGGTTTGCTGTCGCATTGGCGATCTCAGTTTTCTTCCCGCGGACCATCATTTTTATCATACATTTCTTGATACATTTTCATGACATCTGGATCTTGCAGCTCTTGCTCCCTCAACTTTCTGTCTGTCTCAGACAACTTAGCGTGCTCAGGATCATCAGACCATTCTTTCATATCAACTTCATCAT